CGGCACTCTACCCAGGGGGATAGCTTGAGGCTCCGTCTCAAAAAAAAAAAAAAAAAAAAAAAAAAACTAGACGCTATCACCTGATCTCATGACCCTGAGCCAATTACTTAAACTCTCAAGAGCCTTCCTTATTCTTATCGGCACTGCCCAGGGACCACTCTGAGGCCAGCCATTTCTGTGATAAAAAGCCCATGTGCTTGAAGATGTCTACCGTCCGTGGGGAGTCATAAGGTATATGCTCACAGTGGAGCCTCTGAAAAGTCTCACAGTTCAGAAGTCTGTTTAACCTCAAATCTCCTATACTTCAGGCAGGCGACTCCCTTTCTAACAGATCTGTTCATAACATCACTACTTCTCTAGTGTCTTTTAATCTCCAAATTCTATATCCCATTTCCCCCTCAGCAGCGTTGTGGGCACCCCGCATACTGTGAAACCCCCAGTACTGTACCATAAGGGCAGGCATAGGCAGGCAGGCACAGGATGGGAACACACAGCTTGTGCCCCAGAGAGCTGAAGGAGAAGAAAATACGCTGACAAGGTCTCCTCATTTTCCAATGTTTCTCTGAGCTTTTGTGCAATCTCAGATAAGAGTAGGATTTTCAAAAAAATTCTACACTAGAAATTGAGGGCAAAAGTCATAAGTTAATCTTTCACTTTATACACTAGGCAAAGGTTGGAAATGGACATGTGTGTTAAAGAAAATGACAAAATTTTGAGAGGAGGAAAAAAAGGTTTGCAGTGATTAACTCTACCACTAGACCCATTCAAGAAAAAAAAAATGAAGGCTGGGCATGGTGGCTCACACCAGTAATCCTAGTACTTTGGGAGGCCGAGGTGGGTGGATTGCTTAATAAACTCAGGAATTCAAGACCTGCCTGAACAAGAGCGAGACCCCATCTCTAAAAATAGCCAGTTGTTGTGGCCAGTGCCTGTAGTCCCAGCTGCTTGGGGGGCTGAGGCAAGAGAATCGCTTAAGCCCAGGAGTTAGAGGTTGCTGTGAGGTGTGACATCATAGTACTACCCAGGGCAATAGCTTGAGGCTCTGTCTCAAAAAAAAAAGGAGAATCACTTGAGCCCAAGAGTTTGAGATTACTGTGAGCTAAGATGCCACAGCACTTGGAGGGTAACAAAGTAAGACTCACCCACCCTCCCCCCACCAAAATTGAGACCAGTGCACTGGCTCATGCTTATAATCCTAGTACTCTGGAAGGCCAGGGTGAGAGATTACTTTAGGCCAGCCTGAGCAAGAGTGAGACCCCATCTCTATAAAAATAGAAAATTAGTCAGGTGTGATAGCATGCTTCTCTAGTGCCAGCTATTTAGGAGGCTAAGACAAGGGATCACTTGAAGCCAGGAGGTTAAGGCTGCAGTGAGCTATAGTGATGCCACTGCACTCTAGCTCTGGCAACAGAGCAAGACCCTTTCTCAAAAGAAAAAGAGATGGCTCGGTGCCTGTGGCTCAAGTGGTTAAGGCGCCAGCCACATACACCTAAGGTGGCGGGTTCGAATTCAGCCTGGGCCTGCCAAACAACAATGACGGCTGCAACCAAGAAACATAGCCAGGCATTGTGGTGGGTGCCTGTGGTCCCAGCTACTTGGGAGGCAGAGGCAGGAGATTCACTTAAGCCCAGGAGTTGGAGGTTGCTGTGAGCTATGATGCCATAGCACTCTACCCAGGGTGACAGCTTGAGGCTCTGTCTCAAAAAAAAGAAAAAGAGAAAGCTGGGATTGAAAGAGCCTTTTTTTTTTTTTTAATTTCTTTGTAAAGGCTCGGTGCCTATAGCTCAACCAGCTAAGGCGCCAGCCACGTACACCTAAGGTTGCAGGTTCGAATCCCCAGCCTGGACCCGCCAAACAACAATGATGGCTGCAACCAAAAAA